ACAAATTGTTCATCTAAAAAACATGCTGAGGCTCCCGAATCTAATAAAGCAGAGGCTTTGTAATTCTTAGGTCCTAAATATAAGTCTATTATAAAACAAGGAGAGGGTTCTGAGGAGAGGATAGGACCTTCATTAGGAATTGTACAAGGTTCCAGCTGCATGGTCCCTATTGTAGCTGGACGAATCTGTTTTCCGACATGTTGTCTTCTTTGACCGTCGTACCCCTCATTTTATAGTTGTGTCGTTTCTTTGGACAATGTTGAGCAGTGTGCTTAGGTTCTCCGCAATATAAATATAATCCTTCTTGACGACGACGAATCTTTTCTTGCTCAGTTAGGGGTTTAAAACGTACCGCGTCAATTTGCATGTCTTCTACTTCCGAATGTACGTTTGGTAAAGATGTTGATGTTGCCATTGAGTAATAACGTTGAGGTTCCCGTGAATGATTCTCGGATCGAAATTCGAAAAGCCGATTATCACATTTTACCGCAAAATCGATTGCTTGACTCAAAGTTTGAGGATCAGGTAAGTTGAGCATCAATTTCTTTACTTCGTATTGCAATCCATAAAGAAATTGATTGATGAGTGCAGCATCATCCCACTTGATGTCAATTGCAAGTTGTCAAAATTGTGAAGTATACACTGTTACTGAGCGATTTCTTTGTCGCAGAATTCGAATCTTATTTGTTGCAACACGAGTTGCATCGTGTTCACCATACATAGATCGAAACTCCGCCAAAAAAGCTTCCAAATTGTCCAATATTGGATTTCGTTGTTCAAAAAAAGACGAAAACCACAATAATGCAGAACCAGAAAGTAGAGTGCCAATAAACCTGACTTGTGATCCTGGAATTGGATAGCTTTGCAGTTGAAGTTCAATTACCAATTGTACTTGATTGATGAACCCTCGAAACTTTGATCTCGTACCATCAAATTTCTCGAGTAAGACAATTCTTGGTTCTCTAGTGCTTACAGGGTGTTGTACAATTGGAGAAGGAACGTGATTTGTTGCAGATGTTGAAGCAGCTCTGATCATCTCTATATCCCCACTTTCTGCTATTCTTGTTCTTTCCTGTGTTGGTGAATTGAGTTGATGCATCGCAAGCATTAACTCCCTCATTTGCTCTTGCATTTGTGCCATTGCACTCTTCATTTCAACAAGCTCTGCCATAATGACACTAAGAAGAAAAATTTGTTTGATACTGCTCAAGACAAAAGAAAAGAAAGACTTGATAACAAAGAAGATACTAAGAATAATATCAGTTTAGAAGTCGGTAATCCGTAAACTTCTAATACGCTTATGTCTTGTCAAGAGAAAGGGGTAATCCACTCTTACTCAAGAAAAACAAAGCTCTGATATTGTAAGTGTACTCTTGTCAATCTGTCAAGGACAAGAACTCGATGAAAAACAATTCAGACAAGTGAGCCTTCACTCAAAGAGAGGTAAATAAACAAATATATATATTGAAAGAGAAACTGAAATGGCTATTGCCAAAAGACAAGAAAACTAGAGACCCTTGAAACTAGACTAGAAGCAAGAAAGGAGTTGACAAGAGTGAAGAAGCCTTCACTCTTGTCTCTATATATACTATCTAACTAAGAGCTACGTGGCGACGTTCTATAGGACCTCCAATAGGTGTTGACTTTGTAGGGCACATGCCTTGACTTACAAGGCAAGTTTTTCTACGTGTGGGCCATATAGTTAGCTTGATTTTCAAGCTAACAACATGTGTGGCACATGGCCAACTTGTTGACCACGTTTCTAATCCAAAAAGTCAATTAAAGACACCTATGAAGTCAAAGCAGCATCTAGGAAGTTTCTAGGAAGCTTCTATATTAAATATTATAGAATTAACTTATTTTTATCTACTTTTACTTACTTCTACCTATTTCTATATGTAATTATTAGCTTACATGATTATGGCCGTGAAAGGAAGTTGTCAAATCCTCTATGTATAAGGCATTGGTAAAGGTGGCCTTAGACTAGGATTTTGTAAAATTGAGGTGTGTCTTGTGGAGGGCCAAAAAGATTGATCTTTTTGAGAATTTTGGTGATGTCTTTGATTCTAATTTTCATCATTGGTCTTATGGTTTTGCTAGTATATGATAAGACTTCTTCTACAAACATAACCTCTCTAATGCAAGAAACAAGAATTCATATACAATTCTAATGTTGCAAGTATTGACTTAAGGTAAGGAATTGGATTTGTACGAGATAGATTAAAAACTTGTAAGAATCTTTATTTTCTATATGAAAAAATAGATTCCATCATGTAAAAGATATTTTCTTACCTTCAAATTTCAAAAGTGACTATAGGATGTGGTGCATATCCTTCAATGATAAGAATATAATCTTAAAAAATCATTGCCTACAAGTGAGTATATTTGCATCAAACAATAGAGAGTAATATGTGCACATTCCTTCAATGTTGGTTGCCTTGAGCTTTTGCTTGAGATGTAGCCAATAACAATTAACTATATAACTTGGATGTGGATAGTATTAATAATATTGTGCTTTGTTGATGAAAAAGACCATGTATAGAATGTCAAACTCGCAATTTGATTGTATTGCATTGTTTATAGCTTTGGATTTTAGAGTATTGGGATGCACGGGCATTTGGCCAATAGTATTAGCTACTAGACTATAATAATTGGAACATAATGCTTATATCTTTATTAGACAGTTGAAGATAGATATTATAGATGGATAATGTTTCTCTACCAAGGATACAATATCCATACTTGTTGCCATCAAACCTCAAAGTTCTAGAGATGTGAATATCATTTCACCAAATGTAGTTTTTATTATTGGGTTAGCTAAAAGTTAGTTCTAAAAACTTAGACATCATTACCAATTACAGAATCTGATGGAGCAAGTATAAGGATGGTGTGATTGTAGAGTTTTTGGAATAAAATATCTAAACCTACTTAAAAACCAATTGTTACCACTGCCAGCACTCCACTTCGTCCTCCCATCCTCTAACCAACTTGCATCATGTGCGCTGCCATCTCATCATTAAGCATAAGCTACATCTATTTGAATGAACTATGACAATCATCAACCACCACAAAAAAAAATACATTTAGATTCCTCCACTACCCTATATTTGAAACTAGAGATCCTCAACCATATCATAATTAATTGTTATGATGTCTCATTTAATATTGCCATGGCATAATATAAGAGAAATAAAAAACTATGATGTCCAATTCTAACTTAGAGCAATTCACTTTGATAAGAGATTCACCACAGAGTAAGTCTCACTCTATGTTTATTTCTATTAGAAACACACTCTTCATTAAAAATATGTGCAAAGAAATGTGGAGTGATGCTATTTTCACAATCTTTGATCACTCCTCAACAACAAAACCAAATTCCTAAAAATTGTCGTTGCCTTCTAGTTGAGTCGGTGTGACACTGCTTGTTGCTGTTAGTAGTTGCCGCTACATCAAGTTTGACTTTGGATTAACTAAGTATAAGGCAAGTGAAAAAATAGTAAAACTCTTATCTTGGAACACTTTTCGTTGTCTCATACTCTGTTGCCCCCTAATATGTGAAGTGTGATGACTTTTGTTCCGTAATTACTTAGACCCACTGTACTTTGCGTCTTTGTGGTATGAATCCACTGGCAAAATCGTTGACGTAATTCTTTTCGGCGATTCGATGCAGAATTCTCAAAGTGAATGCGCTCGTAAACCTGAGCATTAATTCTGACATAATGTACTGAAGATGGGCTTGAAATCTCTTCGAAGTGTTGTGGGGTTCGAACGAAATTGAGAAACACTACTAATTTTTTAGCATTTGTATACTATGTTTGGCTGTGTCCAGCCTCGATTAGTGCATCCATCTTTTGCAGACACAATCCCAGTTCTTAAGCAACTTCGTACAAATTATCGGCAGCGATGCTCTCTAGATCTTTTCTCAGATGGAGGCCAACACGTAGGATTGGATCAAATGACCGACTTAATCTGCTTCTGGAAGAGCATTATGGCATCGTAAGCGCAGCAGCGGGCAACGTCAGTAATTGTTGCGGTGCCGGAACTACTGCACTATTCAACCAGCTGCGTATATGACAGAACTTCGAAAATAAGCAGGATAGTATTGATTTTTGATTCGAGAGATCGAGTTTTTAGGGGTTGGGTAACTGATCGAGTTGTCTCTGTCCGGAGCGGCTTCATCGAGCGTTTCAACCTGTCGTTGACGCGTTAGATTGAAAAAGCCATGAGGAGGATCCTGATATACGTCAGAAGAGTGTGGAGGACTCATCGGCTCTCCTTCTTCTGGGTCTCAAGTTGATAAAGTTGATAACTCGGCGTAATCATTTGGGTCTTACAGTTCGCCTTTACCCACGTATCTATGAATATCTTACGATATTGCTCTCCTTGCTTCACCTGTCGCTGCATCTTTCCTACTTAAACACTCATTCCCATGTGAATATCTTACGTCGTTGCTCTCCTTGCTTCACCTGTCGCTGCATCTTTCCTACTTAAATACTCATTCCCATGCTGGTGAAGCTAGTGCCACCGATACAACAGAGTATAATACTTGGATCCTGATTTCGAATCCTGATGATAGGAGTTGCTCAGATAAGAATAGTTGCTAATTAGTTGAAAAAATGTACTCTATTCAGCTGCCAAACTCCAGAGATATTTAAAATGTAAGTCAAATTAAGTACTGTTACCAACATCCTGCATGTTCGACTTATCAACACTCCATGTAACGACAGTACCTATTTTACAAAGACGATATTATTAAAGAGAAATAACATTAAATCGTTATGCAGAAAATCATTTGTAGTCCGCAAAAAATGCTTCTTCAGCCCGACTTCGATCTCGATTGAGGTCGGGGGGTCGATCCGACCAGCCACAATGCTGCACAAAAAATGTTGACTAAAGCTACTGACCTCCTAAACATTGCTACCGCGAGTCTATGTACGTTGTCGAAGCCCAAAGCCACTTTTCCACAGATGATACAATTGTATCATTTCTGTGCCAGCAGATTGTCATATATGCGTCTTATTGTATTACTTCAAGCGTAATCACATCGGAAGCTTATATCCTGTCACTGGGCACAGTTTGCTAAGATATCACTTTTGAGAGATATCCACTAAGATTGGTTGTTTCTCTTATGGTTCCCATTCCCATCGCGAGACGGGATCTTAAAGAAATCTAACTATATTGGGTCTGACTTTAGCAGAATTCTGCCACAACCGCAGACCATGACACGATCAAGGATCCAGTGACATTCTGTGCATTGACACTGTTTCAGGAATATTAACCACTAACAACATCGACCTGACGCGCTCGGATACATAAAATCTTACATAAATAATGTATCGATCGTTAGAAAGAATTTTGTAATATACATACGTGCAACTAAGGCTTATGTCATCGCACAGTGAGCTCAAGACGAGCTCACGGCAAGCGCCTCGATAATCTCAAAGTGCATCTGCAAGCTAGCCTTGCGGGTGGAAAAGTACATCTTCTCCGCAACGCGCAGTTTGGAAGCCTCTCCGTGCCGGGACGCTGCATTTTGAATAATCTCCCTGCATGTGTTCTTCTCCATTGCAACCCAGCGCCGGCCTCCGTCACACCACTGCCTGGGCGTGCCATGAAAAGCCACCAGAAGGCCTCCTTCTCGTGCTCGGGATGCTCTTGCAAGGCCGTCCAGCACATGAGCATCAGTTTGGTATGCACCTGGACAGTTCAAGCCGACGTCCACATAGTGAACCTCAGCAATACCGCGAAGAAACTCCTCAACTGTAGCAGGTAAGAGGGGTGACCCACTGCGAACGTCCTTCGTCTTCTCGTCCAGAGCGTCAGTAGGTCTCAGAGAGGCCTGAATGAGATGATTATGAAATGTCAGCGTACGCATTCACCGAAAACAGATTACCCAGATTGTAAAAGGTCTGCAATCCATTCCAAGATATCTAGCCATACCTTTCACTCAATTAAAACCCTAATTCATCAGAACCCTAATTTTCAAACTTTGTGAAGAAAGTGAGGCGATCAATTTCTCACCTCAATCTTGGAACACTTTCCAGAGGATCCCCCCTTTGCTACACCGCGATTTAACCAGTTCTTCTTATTGAACACCTTCCCCTCATCCACTAGATCTTCATAATGCGTCAGCTCCGCCAGCAGCTGATTGAGAACCACCCCGCCCTTGCTAAAGCCAAACACTAACGTTTGAGGACATTTCTTCGGTCTCGAAGACGGGTTATCTAGGGGTGGGGCGGCAAACCCATGGCCGCACAGAAAGTGTGCATTGGTCAAGTTGCTCTCGGGTTGTTTACCGATTGCCACTCGCTCTCGCTGGCTCGGGAGGCTTTCCATGGTCAGTCTCGTGGTCACCTGGATATACCAACACCTAGTTCTTCAGAAACAAACAATAGGCAACGAAAGGAAGACTTGGCTGCTGTGCCCACACAGAGAAACATGCTGGATAGTGCAACGAAATGTTTTAGGGTAACGGCCCTGGCCATGAAGCATATTCGCCTAAAAGTCAACACTGGTATCATTCAAGGAAAGAACCAGGACCAAATAAACACTTGTGAAACAGATCCTCTCTTCTTTAGATGCCACATTGTGACGTTCAACAACATAGATAATACCATATTTTATTAACCGAATCTCGGTAGAAGAAAGAACAGGTCGCTAGTACCTGAGCGAGGCAGTTCTGAAGGAGGGTCAACGTCGCACGGGCTGCCGGCAACCCCTTCGGATCATAGCCCTTTGGCTCCCCTTTTGATGTGAGGGACGGCAAGAGGTTATTGTAGCAAGCAAACGCGCTATTATAGTGGGAAGGTTCGATGATCCAGGCGTTGATGGAAGGGCCAAGCTTGGAGACCAAGATCGACGCAATGTTCCTCGGTTGAGACAGCCGCTCAATTTCGGAATTATCTGTACCTTCAACCCGGTCGCCCACGTAAAATACCACGTTTCTTGAGGGCGACTGCTCTCTAACACGACAACCACACAAAGAAACCCTATTCAGAATTCGGCAAACAAATGTACAGTGGAGCTCACGCTCCAGGCATGATGGCAAAGGACTTGAACCAAGTACATAAAAACCGAGCGCAACCCATGGGAGTTTTTAGTTCAAATGAGCATGGGAGGATTCACGGTCTTCGAGCTAAACCAGCTGCAATATCAATCGACGTATCCAAGGAAGTACCGTTTCCTAAAAGAGATTGAATGATTCACGTAAACCTAATTAGTCGGTTACAGATCATTAAAAAGTTCCAGAACAGTGAGCTACACATTGCCTGGATTCATTGTAGGTGGGTGCTGGTTCAAGACTACGTCTGCCGTATTGACTTAGATTACAACACACTAGGGCCTACCAAACATTTGAGACTCAGAAATAAGACAAAAACATAGAATTTGGTGTTCAAGATCAAGGACCAAGCCGTTGATCAGTACTCTTGTGGTGGCTGTGAGGTTAAACTGTCATATTTGAATACCGTATCGTGATCCAGAAGGCAGGGAGTGAGTACGAAAATTGGACGCACGCCCCACAGAACGGGCATGCATCACAACGAGGGCAGGAAGCGCCGAAAGGGAGCAGGCTCGAGTAGGGGTGAAAGCCACCACATTATCCTGACTAGATGTGCTACATATCCAACTTTCGACGTACTGTAATAGAACGCCACACAATTTGAGTAGCAAAAAAGAAGTGAGGAGAGGAGGGAGCAAGGTAGGGCTCCAGAGGGCATTACCAGAAGAGTGCCAGTGGATGGCGAGTAACACAGGGACGCCGTCACGCGGCTGTGGCCGCTGGAGCCACTGCAACATGCTTGCAACTCACCCTCCCATCTCCCCTCCGCCATAGCAACAGGCAATAAAAATAAAAATAAAAACACTCGTAGACAGCTGATGTTACCTATTCCTCGCCGCTGCCGCAATCTCAGTGTCACGCGAAATCATGCGCAATAACCCAACAGCAAAAGACTTTTTTCTACCAAGTACATCTTCAAATTCATACTCAAAATTCGAGCCACCCAAAAGCCACCTCTCCCCTCCACTCTCTCTCTCTTTCTCTCCTTCTCTCTCCCTCTTCCGCTTCCTTCCTTCGGTTCCCCAAGCTTCAAAAGCAAGGACCTACCAGAAAGCAACCAAGATTCCGAAGCAGGGCTATAATGTGATTCACATGGCACGCAACACCTGCCCCCCGCTTTGATTCATGGTATGGGCTTCAATGCTGATGCATGCCAGTAAGGGATTATAATGTGGCAATGCGGACGAAAGCCCTCTCACAAGATAGGAGTCTTGTGGATAAGGCTACTATAGAATGTTCCAGTGCATGTAAGAAGCCTCAGTTGGCTCCTTTGTCTCTCACTCCCCCACCTATCTCCTCACTTCCCTTGATGCTCCCTCAAAGAACACTCTTACCTCCGCTTCAGGTGCAGCTGTGCAGTCAGTATTTATACGCCTAAAGGAGCGACAAAAGAGCAGACAGGCTTTGCAAGCCGAAAAGTGCACCTTTGGGCCGGGTGGGTGGCGATGTTCGGAACGAGCCAAAGGAGAAGGCAACGCTGGGCAGCGGCGGCTTCAGCAAGTCACTTGGAGCCAGGGGTGGGGTGGGGTCAGAGAAAATTCCTTTGCGAAACCAGGGAAATGTTTTTATTGACAAAAAGAGAAGGAAAAAAACATTGGCAGCCGGGCAGCCTGCCACGCTGACATAACAGAGACGCGCACAAACGATTGCTCCAAAGCCTGCAGGCCCTCTCGATCGACGCTGCTACTCCCGAGTGCGACTGTCGACCAACCGAACGACCCGGCAAACTTACCGGATACGGCTCGCTGTAAGAAGATTATTCTTTTGCCTTCTTTTTCTATCTCCTCCCACAACGGTGGACGGGACGGGACGGGACGGATGCGTACCTGACCATACCCGCACTTAGGGCGCATCGCCCGAAGTCGGCACTCTCCCATCGCGCGGATGATTGATTTGCGCGTCGGGGGGCCGGAATTAACGAGCTGAGCCCCTTTCTCAAGGGTGTTTAGCAAGATTGCTGCAGTCTGATTCAGTCAAGGAATGTGCCGGGCTAGGCTTCCCGTTCACGCTTGCTTAAAATTTCCATTCGTAATCTACTGCATTCTGCACGCAACTTTTGCATTGATTTCGTTCTATTATGTTGGGTTGTGTGATCAACAAGCCATTGCAAGGGCGCTTGTTGTTGATGTGGTGGTCGTTGTTGGCTCATCCATTCGGATTTCCTCCAGTTAGGAAAAGGAAAAATATTCCCTTATGTGAAAACCTTCCATGTAAAGAAATACTTCAAAATAAATAAAATGCAATAAAGTACAACGGCGTATGCTGTTGTAGGCAAATGAGAGAAAAGAGAAAAGAAAAAACAAGCAAATCCTCTTCTGCATGAGGAGAAGCTTCGGCTTGCGTACAAAAGTTTAAAGCAGGAGCTGAAGTTGACCACTGCCTCTCACCTCTCACCATCCACGCTCAGGCAGGCAACAAATAATTACTCTCTGGTTCCTAGAAAGACGATGGGAAAAACTCACAGAGAAAGGATTGGAAGGCTGAGAGCGAAGAAGTCAAAGAATAGAATGAATCACGCTGCAGGTTTTATTGTATTTTAAAACAGTAGCGAAAGGCGTGAGGGACGTCTTGTCGAGAGCACCTTCGAAAATCCCTGCAAAGCTGATCACCTGATTTCCAGGGCCCACGGCCATGGTTACCAATCTGGCCACATTTCTCGCGCGCTCTCTCTCTCTCTCTCTCTCTCTCTCTCACTGACGCACTCTCAAATTCTATTCCTCTCTTTCTCTGTGTCTTTCTTTCTTTGTTTGTTTCTTTCTCTCTGTCTTTCATGCTTGTCTGTGCCCCTCAGATTCTCTCGTCTAAGCCTGGCAGGTGCAGGACAATGGGGGTAGGAAATAGCTCCTAGTCTCGCATCATCGACACACTGACTCTCTCACAGGCATTGTTTATTTCCAAAGGCACCGCAGTAATTGCTCCTCCTCCTTCTCGCTCGCTCGCTACAGCCCAACTGGGACTCTCTCTCTCATTCTCTCTCTCTGGTTTCTTCGATCACACCACAGCCACGCTTGCAAAAAGGCGATGAAGCCCCTGCCCACTTTCCTCCTCTTGCATCGCCTTTTCGTAGGCCATCCCATCCCACTGGGGCCCAAACCCTAAAATTAGGGCTTGACTTTTGGGTTTCTCCATCACCGAAACCCTCCGGTCTACTACTAGTTTTCTTTTTTCTTTTTTCATTTTGTGAGTAGGGTTGTTGCCATCATGAGTGTGTAGAATGCCATGCATTTGGGGCACCTCCATCTGCTTTCCCTGCAATGAACCAGAGGAAGGCCCTCTCTCTCAGTCTTTGTGTTTGCTGTTTATTGTTTGTATGAAGGTTTCTTTTCAGTTGTGGCTGCTGGGTGACAAATGATTCTCATGGGTTTCTCTTCTTTGTTGTTGTTATTTTTTTAGCTAGTTCCCATGATTTTCTCTTTTTTCTCATACCCACTGCCAGGTTCCTTATTTCCCCTATTTTGACATCATGTGAGGGTGAGAAAGAGTAGCTGATCATGACACAAAAACTCATCTACAAAGCTACCCCTTGTTTCTCCCCCTTACACACCTGATGATGGAAATAAACAAGCAAATGAATGAATAAAATTTTAAATAAATACAAATGAAAAAAAAAGCAATATGTGCAGAGAACAACTGCAAATGAAAATAAAAACAAGAAGTAGAAATAAAGAAACAGAAGTAATAAGTAGGTGCTTCACTAGGCCTCTCTCATTCATATGTATGTATAAGAAAATATATGTCTGGATTATTAAAAGCATGATTTATTTGGATAATTGTTAAATTGGCCCAAGTATTTACTAAATCAACCCTCCTATCCAGTAAAAGGTGCAAGGAAATATATTAACTGTACTGCTTGAAAGATAATCAATCAATCTTACACATTATTTTGTTTTGACTACATATGTCCATATCTTTTTTGAACAAAATATATCTGCTTCAAATTTTGGACTGAATAATAACAAGCGTAATAATTACATAAATAAAAATTAATGTTTTTCATAAAATTAATATCTTGGCTTGAATCCAGTTGGTTTGGCCATAAACTTATTTGATCACAATTTGTTATTTACTTTGGTAATCCTTTTGTATCTCTTTAATTTTATAGAATGTTCCAAAATATTCCAGGAACTTTCCAAGAGCTTCCAAACTTTCTAAGAACTTCTGAGGAAGTTGGATATGGTAAGACACTTTCTTTAGTAGTTGATGTGATAGTATTATGAGGAAACTTCTTCCAAAAGACTCTCATGACAAATTTAATGGTAAGATATTAGGGGCTTGGACCAAAAGCTTATAATCAACTCTCTCTCTCTCTCTCTCTCTCTCTATATATATATATATATATAGAGAGAGAGAGAGAGAGAGAGAATTAGAAACAAGAAGAAAAAAAAAATAGAGACAATTCTTAATCTTGTCAAATCATCTCCATTTCATTTTTATCTCTTGTAACTTCCCCAAATTATTTTCCTTTGGCAATAACCATTTGATTGATGTGGATGTTTGAAAAAGGTTGATTTTATTTCATATAAATTCTGATTATTTCAAAATATTTCTAAGATAAAAAAAACTTAATTTATATGAATTAATTATTAATTCATGTAAATTAATAAATCAAGTTTTTATCTTGGACGTCATTAATAAGAACAGAATTTTCAGTTAAAATGATTTAAGTTGCTCTGAGATGAATCTTCATCAACCAATTTACAGAAACTAACTATGAAAACAACATTATTTATACCAAATTTGATTCCAAAAGTAGCATCTAATGCATCAATGAGATTTTTTCAGAATGAATTATGAACATGTGTAATAAAACAAACATCACACATATTTTATTTTCACATGGTAATATGCTTTCATACATGTTTGAATCATATACATTGTGTCCATGTCCATCAGAAAATGCTACTTGGGATACAATGCTTTAATATGCTTTCAAATTTAATATAAAAATTATGTGTATGTGTATATATATATATATATATATATATATATTCACACACTTCTACCTTAAATATTGTTTATATCCACAGAACAAAAACCCACATATATATATATATATATATATATACCTCTTGTCCCTCTATCTCATAGGTTTCATAACCACAAATTCCTTGTTGACATTGTTTCAAAAATAGATAGAAAGGATTTTATTGGTGTATATATATATAATCCATTTGTTTGTATAATTTAAGACATAAGTTTGTGTAGGTTCAACTCACATTCTCCCCATCTATCTTAACCCATTGCACATGGAAATATATGCATAGGGATTCTAATGTTTGTGCTCATAAAGTTCAAGGCTTCTTCTCATCTCTCCAATTATTATTTGTGAGATCATTTGTTATTATTTTTCAATAAATGCAATTCAAGCATCTTGACTTGGGTCCAACACCAGGCTCATATTTTGAAATCTGATGATATGATAATTAAGTCCATAGAGGTTGGACTTGTACCAATTTGATGCGTTGAAAAAGTTAGAAGGTCTAGGAATGGTTTTGGAAGTTGTTAGGTACTCATGCAATATAGATTCCACTTTAACAAACACTCTGTAGTCTGGATTGAAGTGCAAAGCAAGTAATAAGTGTCCAACTGTAGTTTACCATCACAAGGAGATATTTCAAAATAAATAAGAATATTATGTTCCTTATTGAAAATAATGACGATGTTATTTTAATTATCCAAATTTGATTTTTTCATGTAAAGTTAATAAATGATTCATTAAAACTCCAACTTATAAGCATACTATGTAATTTATATATACACATTTACTTATATTAAAATTAACTTTAAACATTTGTAACATAAGCACATGAAGTTTAATGAAGTGTGTATACACACATAAACTCAGTAGTATGATGTATATGATTGGCTAATATATTTTGAAATTATTGTTGTAAATTTTTTACATAAATGGTTGTATTTTTGTAATTAACATGGATGTCCATTTCAGTAATATGTATAATGGTGATGATGAGAAAGCTGTTACTTGCTTAGTCTTGTGAAGTATTTGATCACATCAATCTTTATTTTTTCTTTTTTTTTATTAAAATTGAATCTAACTGAATATGAATAGGAAATATATTATCTTCTGTCCAACATGCCTAAACTTACTAAAAGATTATTACTGTCTACATTAACGGTACAATCAATACACTCATGCTTGGAGAACTTGAAGCAATTTCACATTCAATCATTCAAACAAACAAACAAAGTTTGTATACGAATAAATCCTAAAAAATAAATGAAAAAAATGCGGCTTGTTTATAAAATTTAAATGAGGATTGTGCTTTAATATCTCAATAAGAAAAGAAACTAAACTTGTGGCATCACAATGTGCGGAATCCTCATTGCTCAAGCTAAAAGTGCAAATCAAGAAAGGAAGACATCAATAAGATTTTGACAATTGAAAAGTTAAGTGAAGAATTCAATTCTTTTTTTCTTCTCTAAATCAGATATATATATTTTTTAAAATCGTGTTCTACAAATACAAATGTCATGATTATATTTCCATAATTAGAAAGACCCCAAATAAAGAGAAACAAAGCTACCATATATCCACGAACTCCTAGAATGAACTCAAGTTTGTTAATGATGCATTTTTATCAAAATTTGATTTCTTGTGTCACAAGAATGGACTTTCAGATCTTTCCAGAACCCAAGCCCTGAAAAGTAGATGAAGAAGAAGAAGAAAATTACAATCTTGCATTCTTCCACTCACATGAAGTCCTCTTACGCACAGAGAGCCTTGATTTTCACTGTAAAGCCACCCCTTGCAACATGACCCCCACCATTAATGAATGCATGCAGCTCCACACAACCAAAATAGCAATCCCAATTCAATACTCATATAGACATTATATATGTATATATAGGAGTTGTATGAAAGTGTTTCTCTCTCATGTTCAGGGAGGTCGTCATAATGAGGACGGTGAAATGAAGAAGAAGAAGAAGACGATGAAGAAGAAGAAGAAGACGATGAAGAAGAAGAAGAAGACGATGAAGAAGAAGCAACAGCAGAAGAAGGGGAAAAAGGCAAACAAATAAACAAAAGCCTGAGTTCTGCAGGAAAGGAAGGGAAAGGGACAGGGCAGCGAGGAAAGGGTGTCGGTTGAGTGTGAACCCCGAAGGATTTCCAGCCCCATTCATCATCCGGAAAGCAGGAATGAAAGAGGGCAACTGAGTAGTGGTAGTAGTCTCAGTATTAGTAGTAGTAGTCTCAGTATTAGTAGTAGTAGTCTCAGTATTAGTAGTAGTAGTCGTAATAGTAGTAGCAGTAGTTGGGCGCAAACAGGGCCAGGCTAATGAAGAGCAGGAGGAGGAGGAGGAAGAGCCCCGTGGGCCCTATAGGATTAGATCCCTTGCCTTCCCTTCCTGTGGGCCCTATAGGATTAGATCCCTTGCCTTCCCTTCCTGTGGGCCCTTTTGGGTCCTTACCCCTTTTTGCAACTGCAAGGACTCACTCTCTCACTGTCACGCAATGCAATGCAATACAATGCAATTCTTGGGGTGCCGATTCAGAGCTAGATGGGTGAGGGTGCTTAGATGGACTGACGATCAGCTTCCAGTGGTTCCTCTCTGTAGGGCCACACGGGCAGAGCTCCTTGGACACCCAACCCCCTTCTCTCCCTGCCTCATGTGGTCTGTCTCCACTAGTACAAACCTCGCTTGACAACGCTAGGAGTGATTTGAATTCCACGCCCTTTCCGTCTACAAAGTCCATTCACGAATCATATCCTCCAGGAAGCATCATGTCGTCAACACCCTTGCCTCATACCCCGTTACACATTGGGAGTGAGGGGAGGGACGGAGAGGTTAGGGGGAGGAAATGGATGCATAGCTCCTTCCGTGGGATCGATGGCGCTGGTTATGAAACAAGTGAACTCTGTAGAAAGATCAGAAAAATAGAAATAGATATAAAAAAATAAAAAAATAAAAAAATAAAATGGGACGCTCTGGGGTTGGACTCTGGATTTTAGATCCCCAACCCTCATAGAAGTCTGTATTCTTTGTCATTCCGTTGCTCTACAAGTACCACCGAAGGTCACAGTATCCTTGTCGATTTTGAATGTGTAACTACCGTATTTGCAGTGACCTAATTTCAGTAGGAAAAAAGCACATGTAAATATAAAGTTATGTGTATGCATACTTGTACTTCACTCTTTGTTACCTTTTTTGGGGAGGTTGGATTGGTTTGTACATCTGGCGGTGCAGCAGAGTGTCAAAGTGTTGCTCCAGGAGCACATTGCCCTGGTGTGGCCCGCCCTTTCATCACGAAGAATTTAGTGCACTAGTCGATGATGTATCCTACGCTTTTTCGTTTGGGTTTGTCGGTGTAGGAAAATGTTATAGAAGTTGCATACGTAGGCTCTCAGAAGAGAAAGTTTGTTTACTTCGTCTTCCATGCTTTTGGAATTCTACTAGACCTAGTCTAATGGTACGAGAGAGCAGTTGAAAGTCGCATCAATTTTCTGAACGTCTCCAGAAATTGGAGTCATACTTACTCAAGACTTAGTCCTGGATCGGTGCAGGTAGTAACTTTTTTTAACGTAGTACAAAGAAGATCAATGTAAAATTACAGAGACTGTGACAATACACGACGTTTTTTAAATTCTAATCCCGATGACAATGATGATAAAATAAGTTCACCCTGAGAGAATTAGGTTATTACAATCTGAATGGCGTACCATGAGCCCTGACTGATGCAGCAGTCGACGGTTACTTATCTACCGTCGCCCAAACATCCTGCGGGACAGATGTCGATAACTTGTGCTAATTTCGCAAGCATGCATCCGTCGACTTTGAACTCGTTAAACTGACCATGCACCTCTCCATCGGATCGCCCAATACGACACGCAACTGTATGAGCCGTGACGATGGTTAACGCATCACGTTCAGGAACGTAGGCATGTCCAGTAGCTTGCATAACGGACTTCCATCATTCAGCAACAGAAATGAGACAAACGATGGATATTAAGTTAATGGAGGAGGCGGGGTGAGGACAAATGAATGCTGTTAAATGGCTAACCTCTTGCCACAAGGAAGGAACGGAGGAGGAGGAGGAGGAGGTTGAGTCAAGGAGGGGGACGTCGCGCGATGAGTACGGTGCCTTGAACAGTAACTCCACTGGATCCTTCCTACATTCTCGTGTCCATCTGGTCGCAATAGTTTGGGCAACCCAAGATACTTCAGACACAAGTGGCGGAGCAGTGCCCGAGGTTGCTTCGCCGCAGCTCCGGAAGCGATGGTTGCGATGTGCACTGCAACAATCTGTTCAAGGCAAATCTGCAGATGGGCCACGCGATCGTGCGTTGGCGTGGTCTATATTAAGCCGTGGATGGACGTGGACAATCTGCGGCCAAATCTTAGGTCCGAATGGCATGCGTGCTAAATTTATTGAGTCTATGATTACAGCACAGGGTGTAGAAACGGAGTGCATCCCAATCGTCTGCAGAGCGAGCTCCAGGCTGCAGGGTTGAACTCACGGATCGGTTCCTCACGGAAGAGGGGGCCATTCCGGTAGCGGAGTCACACCAATGCACTGCCCCTATTCGGAAACAAACCACCTACCCACTGACTCCAGATAGTAAAAATAAAAATAAAAATCATCCACTAATGAAAGTACTGGAATCCTCCATCTTTCAATAGTACAACGTGGCAGAGCTTGGATCAGTTTTGCTTAGCAGTACATTACCCGCTCCATGTGATGGTGATCATGAGCTGCTGCCCAGCTTCATTATTATGAACGTGGCACAGGCACGGCGCCCTTGGCAAGTGCTGGAACAATCATGCTCTGGAAGAGTGCAGACCCCATATGTTGAAGCGCCGTGGCAGATTTCAAAAACCTGCTGTGTTCTGTATGACCCCCATTCTCAGAGTGGTTTCTCATCCACTAATACTACGTATCCCAGAAGCTGTACAAACCCCTTTTATAAGACACCCACATTCCGAGCCCAGTCATGAGCACCAGTAATGGCGCAGTGGGTTCCTTGTCCTCAAAATAGTGGATCACAGCAAACTCAAGGATCTGAGTTACTTAGTGCCTTGAATGATCCAGTTATTCTGGAGCTGACTGAGATCCAGTTCCCGAAAATACAGTTGGGATTGGGCAAGCCGGGCACAAATAGTGTTTTCAAGAGTATTCCTTGAAAGTTATTTTTAGGGGGAAACTGATTGTCATCGCTCTTCTCATAGTTTACAAAACTAATTATAAAAAAAAGAAAAGAAAAGATGCCGTTCTGAAATGTCAGCCAGTCATGCTTGAAATTCCTAAAAACACTGTGATCGAGCATGATTCAATTAACTTCCAAAACAGCCATCCTGCAATGCTTCCACCAATCTGCAACCAATGGTAATCTTCAACAGTCATTGAGTAGCAGAGCGATCAAACATTTCAATAAACGCAGATTTGAGAACACTGTATCTGGAAGGAAAAACAAAAACAAGAATAATGTGGGGTGACAAACAGAGTCAACCTTTGAAACCAAACCACACCACCTGCTGAATCAAATTTAACCCACTAATGGTATCCAGGTTTAGTTCTCAAGTAATTTCGCCATAACGTCGACCGCTTGAAACTTTCTCCTTAGTCCGGCCTCTTCACCTGATTTCTCCTCGTCTCTTCAGGGTAATTTTGTTGCATGCATCAATTGGCAGTAATTGCACAAGTGGTCTTATCCTTCTGTCCATTAGATTAGTGATTCCGGTACATATTTCAAAAAGGCGATCCTCAGATGAATAACATCGATACAGTAATGTCACAACGTAGAACTAGTATTCTACTGGGCAGCTCAGGTTAACTTCTGACCTTATATTGAAAACTATTGTAGCGATGGCGAATAGATGAGGATATGTTAAAGTGACTATATATTTGACATACGAAATCAACAATCACAGAAAAAAAATGTAGAATAAAAGAAAAGGAAGGAAGAAAGAAAAATTTCCAGGTTGGTCAACAGTTCATGTTCCAGAATCGACTTAAATAAACATTTTGTGACAAATGCTTTGTTTCTACATATAATAAAACGTAAAACCAAACAAACCTCTAACAGTTTACTAAGCTAGGAATCACGGATACCCCCACTGCGCCTATGGATGGTCATAAAGGATGAAATCTGAGCTTTTGAAGGCCCTACATGAGATCTAGACTAAGAATTCAAATTTGTGAAATCGTGATCGTTGTCTCAGCCACAGCACTCGCAATCTGATTCTCATCTTCTGTTACAATTTATAGATGCAAAATGCATAAGCTTACGAAACTAGCCAGTGTTACGCATGTTACTGGCAATGGCCTTGATGGTCCTGAGCAAAGGCTTCTCCCACAGGGGTTTTTGCTCCTCAGGTGCTGTTGGGTCTCTTTGGCGGCCCAAAAGTATGATCTATCACACCAGATAACCAAGAAGATAAGGTGTTTTAGAATATAAAATGAAAACATTCTGGGTTTTGGATCAGAGCAGAATCTGCTAATAGTGTAACTTAATTTCAAGGGTAAAAAAGCAGAAAACTCGTGAAAAACAGATAGTAAATTGCAAGTTGTATCAGAAAACAGAAACTAGCAGTACCTGGAGGTGGTTAAGTGGGTCGAGGTACTTTCGTCGCGTGTCGAATGAACTCTCCAAAGACGGATTGTCCTGGAGCAACTTATTTTGCTGCGAAACCATCAGAAACTTTACACCCATCCGCCCCCCCCCCCATGCTTTTACAATCAGAGATTAGCTGGTTCACATATATGCATTGAAAATGACTGAGGAATAAATAAATGACCACCTGCAACAAGATCAGGCAACAGCTACTAACAATTCACTACTTTCAGCTCATGCATGTTTCCGAACACATGAGACAAACCCAGACACAATTTAGAGTTAATATATTGATATTTAAGAAACAGATTACTGAGTTGAATTATTCCCCCGAAAATAGGCCACAGAAGGATGATCTATTACCTTAAAAGACCACTGAACATTTCATGTATTATTTACTTAAATGACCAAGACGGGTAGTTTAGAACGAACCAAACGGACACAACTCATAATTGCTAAAGAACAAAGGTAACAAACCTGAGCCTTCGTGAGAGAGTACTCTTGCGCCACTAGATCATAGACCAGCTTTTGCGTGATGCGGTTCCTGCATTTGATCAGATGGATAGACTAGCGTGAGGAAGTACAACATGTAAGGACCATGGATAATTTAAAGAACAATATTTAATCAAAGAAAAATATGACAGGTTTGAAAACTACTAGATAGGATCAGCCTAAAGGTTCTAAGCATCAACTAGGATTGTGGACAAATTTTATACAGGTATTCTGGTTGTTACACACGTCGGTACCATGACTACTGTGCTCGGAGATATTGGATGGGAAATCTCACACAGACGCACATAACCAATGCCATGATTACCAGGGAAACCTCATGTTAGAAATTAGTTGCAAAACACTTACAAAAGAACTCCGTTACGCAAATTTATCATGTATGGCAAAGTAATGGGGAGCACACATACGAGCATAATCGTGCGTATTCTTGAGCGATCTCCATTGATGCTTTAAACAGAGACATCTGTCATGTTGCCAAAAATCACAAGCTTCATCTCACGTCACAAATAGCCAAAAAAATGTGTATGAAAGCAACGTGGAAGTGGTTGTGATGCAAAAAAAAAAAAAAAAAAAAATTAGTGAAAACCTCAACAAGACCATCCACCTTAAGATACCCGATGAAGATGATACAGTTAGAAAAAGGTCATTTTCAATATTTAGCCAATAAAGCTCTAGCAATGTAGAATTTCAGACTTTGAGGGTTCGTAAATACCTGCACATTGGACAGAAAAGTGCGAAAGAAAGGCCATTCTTGATACATCGACTGAAGCTCTTTAATTCTGTCTGGTTCATCGCGTGTATAATGAGCAATGCCACTGCCAACCCCATACCATGCTGGTAGTGTGTGCCTTGACTGTCGGACACAAAATCCGTACATAACCAACTTTAGTTGTACTTGAGAATATTACATGCAATAATTGATATTCAACTGATTATGTGTCTTCAACTAAGCTTTCTTGATGCAAATGTCAGCTCAGATATCCGTCTGCAATCTGTCGTAGTCTCGGGTTAGCAAGTTTGAGCATGATGAACTGGACTAGAGAATCTGACCAAGAGTGAGGAGGTTGCATTCGGGCTGGTTACCTTCATTAAAAAAACCAGGATTTTGTCTAGGAAACAGTTACTAATATGAGTTATGGCGTGAGGAAATTTGAACGAAAAGGTTATGTTTACCCTGAGGTGAAATGAACCACCCAGTCTCACCTTTTCGAACCATGCCCACTGATGACATGAAACTAAACTTAGTGCTCTCTAAGGTCCAAAAAGACGGGGTTTTATCCCAAGGCAGAGCACTCAAAATTAATACTATAGATTCTATCTCCCAACAATCAATTACATGAAAAGTTAACTGAATAGGGGTTTTCTATGCGATACTAGAAAAACTCGAGTATCTTATTATCGGAAATTTTCGCAAAAGTAGTCTTTAACATATATTACCGTATTTGAAAAATGACCAGTACAGAAAAACACAGCAACAAGAGCATTTTTGACGAATGCGGTAGCTAATAAGGATTTTCAAAACAATCTGATAGACACGAATTGTTTGCACAAGCTATGCCGTACCTGTGCCCACCCGAAGACCCAAGGGATAGCACGCAATGAAGACTTGTCACGAACAGCAGCCTTACGACGAGCAGGCCGACTCCCAATGTTGATCAGTCCAATCTCGTTGACAACGGTTGATTCATAGAAATAATCATAAAATCCTTCCGTATCGTCAGTCAGTTCACGGTACGACTTCTCTGCAGCTGACGCAAGCTGCTCCATAATAGAGAAGTACTGTTCCAGCACATCACACCATGTTACCGAACAGATACTGTTGTATTATTATGACTTCGTAGAATTTCATAATAAAAAAAAAAGATGCCTTGACTTCTCAGATTAACATAACATGATACAATACGCTGCAGGGTGGTATTAGATACCGCAATGAAGATAAAATACCACAACTATTACAACATTAGTCTCGTAGATTCCTCATGCCAAGAAGAGTGCTATCAAATGTATATTTTTTTCCCAGAAAACGATAGAATTAATAACTCGATGTCTGCTCACCCTTTCATAGTCACCACCAAGTCGAGTTGCGGGATGACTAGCTTTTAAAAGCCCAGTAATGCCAACCTATTAATTCAACACCATGGCCAAAAATATTAGTTAAAACTCAGTTATTTTTGATGGGCCGAAGCCTTTGGGTGCAATTTCAAAGATTTTTTTTGAAATTCAGTAAGCAAAGTCCCTATAACAATCCCGAGCGTTTTAGTCGTGAAGTCTGATCAAGACCAATTGGACATGCAACAGTATTTTCAATTAAAAATCAAGACAGGGATCTTGTCATGATAGACAGGGCAACTAGCCAGAAATAGAAGTGATGGAAAACTTACAGTCAACTCGTATGCAGCCGTTTGAGCATTTCCATAACGATAAGTAATAACTTCTCCTTGCTCTGTGAATTTTATTTGTCCATCCACACTGCCTGGTGGCTGCCAACAAGTGAAAGAGAAGTCAATCAAAGAGGCAAGCGCTTGATACTACTGCTCGAGAAGAACACGGACCTCTAGTACTTGTTACGGGTAAAAGTAATAAAATAAGTAAATAAATAAGAACATTATCACGCTACAAGTTTAAGGAAAATGATGCGTTTTAAAAATCAACTCTTTGCCATCATGGTTGCCTGAGACCAAAAAACTTCAGCACCACATTATGCATGTGACCAGCAAGAACTTCTAAGATTTAGCATCCACAATTTCATATCTAAAACATTCAAAAAAAGAAAAAGTGAGATATGTAGTTATCTGCACAAATCACCTGTGATAGAATACTCTCATGAGTCGGGCCGGCTCCACGACCAACAGTACCGCCACGACCATGAAAGATGCACGACTTCACTCCTGCCTCACTTGTGAGTTTTTGAATTACACATTGAGCCTTGTACAGGTTGTATGCACTAGCTGTAATACCTCCATCTTTACAGGAGTCTGAATAACCTAACATCACTTCCTGCAAACACTCCATTTGTCATGGTATCCTCTACATATAAACATTCTCTTCGAAGATATTGAAGGGTTAAACAAAATCATAATCAAATTCGAAGCTTGCCGACACAACTCTGTTTGCTACGAGGAGTATCATTAACGATAGTCACACAAAACCCAAGACATAAGAATGCAATCCAAGAAAACACGTAAGACTCTTTAGTGCGAGTGTAATATTATTTATAAACACATCTGGTTGACTTTACCTGAATACCGCCTGAAGCCATCAAGATTGCCTTGTAAGTCTCATTTTTGAAAAGAGATTCTAGAGACCCTGGCATGTTCTACAAACAACACAAGAATTTAACAGTCAAAAGAAATACTAAGTCATTTGAGCTCCTTTTATCATTCAAAACAATTACTGCTGATATTCTATTCTGCAACACAGGTCTCGAAAGCCAAGCAAAAGAATTATTCAATTTCGAGCTCCTCCGTAGTACCTCCAGATCTGGTATAGTTTCGAAGAGAGGAGCAACAACCAACCGTGCGCTCCATTCTCCGGAAGCTTTTTTCTCTAGCAAATTTTTACATGCAAACCACCCAAGGAATAATACCTGTTTTTGAGGAAGTAGAAGAGGAGGAAATACAACGAAAAAATGTGAGTTTAGAATCCTTTCCGCATCAGTTACAATGTAATATGGATTTCAATAGATTGGAACTTCACTCCAGTTCTAATAGAACTTTAATTTCCAACAGAGCGCAGAAGGTTAAGGCACGGTGACACAAGAAACGACTTATGGTGTCAAACCAAAGTGGGAGCAGCTAAGACACTAATCATGAACAAAAGCGGAAAGGAACGTACTTCCATCACATGAGATGCTTGACGAGTCATGGAGATAACGTAAGAGGCTATGGATTTTTCGGAGATGTTTTCTATAATATCCGCACAGGCGAAAAAGAGCTCCACTACCTCCCTTGATGGTTCCGACATGGTTTTGTATAATTCCTGAAAAGTATTCAACATGAAAACAATAGATGAACCGTCATCTTATCATAGCGCACATCCTCACGTAACGATAAACTCCATGTTGATTTCGAAGTACACTAGTATATCTAGCACAAGTCTACGGCTAAACTTAACGCGATTGACAAGTATACAAACAAACACGACAATTGTTACAACGCAAACCCAAAGAAAATCCCGTACGTTGAAAAGAATAAGCACAAACACAAACCTCGACTTCGTCTGAAGGGGGCGGACTTGAGATAGTTTCTGCAAGCAAATTCATGCGCTCTGCCTCTGATAGTGAGTTGTAATTGTCGTGTAGTCCTAAGAGTCGAATAATCTCATCTGTTGCCTGAAATCAGAAAATCGTCCAGGACCACCTCATTTCATGTGAGAAAACTGATCGCATGCGACAAGTAACCGGCTCCCAGTTGCAGTTTGAGTACATTATTATAAGCGAAAGATCTCAAATAAACGCTGCAGTACCTCGCATTGATCAAAATATAACAAATCGCCGTTACCTCAGTATGTACAGTTGACTCTTGCCGGACATCAAGAGAACAACAGTAGAAGCCAAATGTCTCAGCCAGTCGAATCAAATCCTTTATCTTTCTATCCGCCAAGCGAAAGTCTCCACTTTTGCGTAATGAGAACTGAATACAAGTCAAACGTAAATATATTGCACTTTACTGAACTGCCTAGTTTGAGGCTCTTTGAGTGCAAATGACGCACTCTTCAGACAGACAGTTACACACATGAATGAAAAGTTGATAATGGCTTGAAATCCACAGCACACACGAATATTCAATACGGGCAGCATTCAGAGCAGTGAAATAACTTGAACAATTCAATGCAATCAGCATGATTTTACTGAAAAGTGTATAATTTCACCAGAGTAAAGGAGGTACTCACATCGATTAGTTTCAAATCGTTCAGAAACTGGTCCTCACTGACGTAAGCATCCTTCTTTGGATCCAACCCGGGAATCTCGTCAATGTTGAATTCTATGTCTATCAACAACTGCAATTCCAACCAGATGGACCACATTAACAAATAAATGAGCAATCCAACGTTCAGTTTCTTTGCTTGTATAATTCAGTTTTAGTCCAACCACGCGTGTTTCTTGTGAATTCCAAGTTTTTAGGGCGTTTTCCCTTAGTGCTAACTTTCATAATGTCTCATTACCACTTCAGACCTCAATTCATTATAACCAATATGAGATTAAAATGTGTATACAACTGATGCTAATAAACCTCACACATGCTTATTCAGCTGAAACTACTGCGCTTGCAAATAAGAAGCAATGGGCATGGGTAAACTGGAGGCATACTTCATCATGCATGCCTGCCTTTCCTAACTCACGCAAGCGAGCATTGACTTCTCTCAATCTTTGCTCAAGTCGGTGTCGCATGACTCTAAGCTTGAGTCTGTATGGTTCCTGAATCATAAGACAATTGGTAAAATTAGAGGCTACCAGAGAAAAACTTCAAAATAGGAGAATGCACTGAGATGCACAAGATGAGAACCACATATTAAGTTTATGTAGCACACTTGCAAGAATATGAAAACTAAGTCAAGCAACAAACTTACATGCTCGTAAAGATCACTATCGAAGCGAATAGCAGGTATCTGCTCCATCACTTTCTTATCCTCTTCTAAACTCTCCAATAGCTCTGATGAGACTTCAGAGATGAGTAGCGAGTGAGTCAATGTGTCCTGCATAAATACCAACACAGTTATCAAACATTGTTTAAGAAATACATCTAATGACAAATCGTATTATAAATTAAATTGAAGCAAAGTGACCAAGAATCTCAAGCAAGGAAAAGTATCCGAAGATCAGTCCGGAACTGCTAAATCTGTAACTTACACATTAAAAGATTAAGGATCAAAGATAAGTAATTTCACCTGACATGCACGGACTCGACGGATGTATTCAGCCAAGATGAGGCGGCTTGCAAGCAACGCTGCCATCACGGTCGTCTCGGGGCGGACTGATTCATCCAACGGCACATGACATCTGCATCAGTACAGTTTTGAAGAGTACACCATAAACAATATGGGACAATGATTGGTAGTTGTAAACATACAGAAGAGGGATTTTTACAGGCATGGTCTAATGTTATGGTGCGGCTTGTGTGGGGAGTGAAAGTTCAGAAACTAACCATAGGGATTACCATCGCGGTCACCACCAATCCACGATCCAAATTTAATAAAACTTGGAACAACAAGACCTTCGTCAGGATATATAGCCTGTCGGAATTTGCAGTTGCAATGTTAAAAATAAAGACAAGCATTTCTTGCTCTTCGAAGGCCTCAGGACATTTCAAGACATGATAACTTGCATATGAACACTTACGTTCACGGAGTTCTCAGCATATCGATAAGTAGTGCACACGGCTTCAAAAAGAGAATAACGAAAGTAATCAAGTCCTGTAGTTATTTCTTCCAACACAGTAGGTTTCCTTGATCGCATCTCATCTGTTCTCCAAAGTATTTCAATCTGTAACCAACGAATAAATAAGGTTTTGACTACAAATCAAGGGTTCTTCAAAGACAACTCATAGTTATTACTACAGAAGAATGAAACTTCGAATAATCATCATGCTTACCTCAGCCTCAATTTCAACCTCCAATTCCACTTTCTGCGCGGGACTAAGTCTTGGATCCTGCATGCCACAGTAGAATTAGTATACAACACAGTACAAAGTACAACCAGTTCACCACATGATCCAAGCATTCAGTGCAAATCATTAGGGCTGACTAGTGAATTGTATGGAAACAGTTACCGATCCATTGTAGCGTAAAAAGATGAAGTAAGAATTTGAAATATGATTGATTCACAAATCATTCATTGTTCTGATGCACAAAAGTTAGAACCAAACTTCAACCTACCACAACAGTATTGACTATTGTCAAAGAACGGTTATATAATTATGATTATTATTTTAATATTTCAAAATATGAACCTAGATTAGTTAGTCCATTGACAAGACATGCTGATGAAAATACAAATTTGTAGAACGATTAGCTTCCTTAATGCAGACACAGATAAATTTGTGGATTGAAAAATTAAATTAAAACAAAAGTGAAATACCTCGCGATCATTGCAGAGAAGAAAAATACGATGCAAACATGTAAGAACTTCTCTGCGCCGAGCCTCTGTTGGATGGGCGGTAAAGACTGGATTGTACTGGCATCACACGCAAGGAGGAGATTTAGGAACACTCAGTATAAATTCAGGGAAGTTCCTCGAACAAACAGTTGTACAATTTACACTATAAACTGATGATTTGACTAAGGTCGATAACATTCTGGCAAATTACTTTGCTTTCGAACTGCTCAAATCTTTGTATATAAAATGGCAACATTACAACGTTGCTCAAGAAATTGCAAAAAGGGATTCAAAATAATAAAGGACCTGACCTCTGTTCGATTGAACAATTCTTGAAGCTCGGTAGCTCCTACGTTTTCCTTCTTGAAAGCTCTTAGAGTGTGATCAAAAGATGCATACCAGAGTGGCGTTGCATTTCTGCTGGCCCACACCTGTAAAACCCTCAAAAAGATTAAACTAAAACTCTTATGAAAGATTACAGAAAGACAGGTTGTTTTTGGCATGACCTTACTCACACCACGACTCAACGAATTTTTGCAATTGCATCCAGAAATTTTATGAAAGTCGCAACGAGACTAAAGTTTAAAATAATACCTGCTCGCGACGCACTCGATGACTGTGCGCTTCGTCTGCTACGTTAAGAAGGGATGAATATAGGTAGAATAAACGAATAACTGCGGTTATCTGCAGAAGGTTCCTCATAGTTGATGAAATACATCATGATAATGGTGAGACATTCAAGCAAAAAATATCAACTCATTCTTTGAGGATAAACACAAAATCCATGAAGATTAATCACGGAAAGAAGAGAAAATTTAATACACGGAAAATATTGCAAACAGGATTTTTAAAATGGCAGATCGAACCCCCAATGTCATACCTTAGACGGCTCCATATTCTCAATATAACGCAGTAAGTCAGCGCGCTTTCTAGGATCTTCTTTCTGACGCAGCTCTTCAAAACCACTTTGCAGAAAATAAGCCTACTCCAAGCAGGAGATCGTAATTTCAGAATTAAGCAGTCATTTGCAAAGCACTCGGGTAAGATTATGATGCAACTTCAATGTGCTTCCAATGTCCTATAGAATGTCTTACTGTTTATTTACAAGCCAGATATGAATTCAGAATCCAGCAACATTACCGCTTGCATGTATCGCACAAATAAGAATGCAATGAACACGAACTGCAAAAACTTACTGCTTCGAGCACATCTTCTCTGCCATCTCCACGAACTGCTTTGTTCAAGGTTTGTGTCAAGAAGGTGACCTGTTGAGGTAATCGGTCCAATAAGTTCCAACACTAATTCCAACCTTCCACGATACCAGTAGGCTCTAACACTATCAGTCCTGCCAACCAAGAAAGTATGACATCACAAAAATAGAACGCCTTATTAATTTTTCTTCTCAGAACCTCTCTTCTGGTTAAAAAGATAATTATTAAGAGAGGTACCTGCATGACCTCCAAAACAAGAAATATAAAATGAGCTAACCTGTTCCGCCAGATTAGGATCACCACTTGCCGTATTAAGAACATTACGCCGCTTTAATTTAGCAAAAATCTTCTCAGAGATGTCAGGCCACCTGTCCTCAGGTATAGCTGCCTTCGATTCAGCATCCGAAACAATGAACACGTCTACTACACGATTGTTTTCCGAAAGCAACTGGGCACTCTGAACACTGTTGAGAACATGCACGCCAAGCACAGAAATCAACTTCAAAAACAATTATAGATCTACAAAAAGATTTAACAGCAAAGAAACTTGGTGAAAGCGAGAAAAATCCGGGTAGATGAAACAAGAGACTCCACGAACGGTCCTTGATAAGCAACAACATAAAACCTCACAATCAAAACAAGTTGATTTTGAAATACCTGATGCCCATCTCATAAAAACTCAAAGTAACGTCCATAAGCAAATTGTCTTGATCCATTCCATCGACGCCAACCACTGTGAATCCGGGCATGCTCTCATTATCAAACGCCAGACTATATTCACCTTCACCCTCACTATCCGTGTCCGTGCTGTAGCTGGCCCTAGACCCAGGTGCTTCATCCGAAATAGAAAGGTTTGTCACATCCTCCGTCGCAATCGCGCCATCAAATCTTGTGGATCGTACTCTTGAAGCCTCAGCAATGACTGGACTTCTTACATAAGCGCCTCTCCTACAGTCCAGAAGCGCACATGCACATGTTACCGACACGTTCAAGATCAAACCGATTCCATGAAACAAGATTAATTCTCATGTGCATCCGGGAGTGGATTCGGGAAACGTTGATGATGAACGATGAACCATATGAGAATTCCAAATAATCCAACAGATATCACAACAAAATTAAGCACGAAGATAGCAATTCGTTAAGTGGAGCACCTGACGGGCGTCGTTGGTGGTAGTTTCGCGGAGAATCGATGTGCTGCCCCTACTAAGATACCTCGAGAATATGAAATTGAGACCGGATTCACCTTATTACAAAGTGCAGTCCTCAGAGCCTGTATGAGCACAAAGATTTTTTTCTCATGATGTTCCAATTCAGAAAGTTGTACTGCGAAGGGATTTCAGTAATACACATTACAAGGGTAAAGTCTCGATATTATATCATACGTAAGCAACACCATTTTATCAAGGTTCAATTGACCAGCATGATTTCATCAATATCTACAATCTAAAGGCTGTGAGTAGCTCAGCGCAAAATTGTCATGCTGAAATATAAAGTGTGGATTTCGCTCACTTGTGGATGCTTCAAAGAGTGCTCTTTGCTCGACCTTGCTGTAAAAATGGGCTGTAGCGAAGGTCTGCACCAGAACACGACCAACAGAGATACCAATCCCAGTTATCATACGGTTTACAAACTGTAAAAGAACCCTCAATACATGATACAGAACCCTCTTATGCACTTCCGTTCCAGTGAAATGTGCCCTTGACACTCAACCACATAGACTAAAAAGTTCCAGTATGAAACAAATGCGTGAACATTTTACTTGATATGCAAGAAGCTTCGGCGTCAAGTTCTCCACTTAAAAAACACTTCCAAGGTTCAAGATACGAGGGGTTCACGAAAGACACCACCTAGACTAAAGAGCACTGGTATCCGTAATGAAAGTACAGAAAAACCTCTTCATAGTTGGGGGTGGGCCCTCCAGAACTCTGTTAATACTCTTAAACCCAACGGTATGAATAGCTACTGATTCCAAACTGTTTTCTCCCTCAATTCTTTCATGTAACAATAAAACTCTGTGAGCACACTACAGTCGAAGTTGTCATAACCTCTAGGTATGTACAAGATCAGAGCGTACATACCGATCGAACCAGTTCCAGTGTCAAGACGTCCAGGTTCACAAAGCAGATTCACAAATTAAATGAATATACCTGACACCTGAATGAAGACTAGCGTGCGCCATTCCAAAGCTAATACCAACCTGACACAGCAAGAGAAATACTAACGGTAAGACAAAGAAGAAATCATTCAAATTCTAAGCGATGAGGTTTTCAATTTTAAATTCAACTCGAAACATCCGTGAACCTTTTCTAGGTGCTGCAATACCACGTACAGGTTATCACAAAGAGCTGATAATGAGTTTTAGGATTAAAAAATCCAGCATCGCCAGCTTTTCCGCAATTCAGTCTGTTACAGACTCTCAACAATGCATACGAAACCAATCAGAAACTTCGCTACAGCAGTTCAGAAGAAAAGACTATAGAACACAGCGAACATTCCCCTATGTCTTTGTCGAATTAACAATGAAGCGTTCATGGAAGGAAAGAAATTGACACTAAGAAGAGTCGATGAGAAGCACATGTAAGTTCAGTGCATTCTGTTCCAAGAAATTACCGTCCACGAGTTATTCCCACTCTCTTACACAGTAAGAAGCTGCAAAAACACTTGGATCCTATCAATTGTAGCGAAAGTAGATTATCGACAATTTATCTACATTTTGCAAACAAGGACCTCAGCTTCACAATACGTGAAATAGCTTTTCGCATTCTCGAAGCCAGAGTTGTGATTACGGACCCTTCAGCAGCTTGGTGGGGGGAAATTAGAATTCTTAGACAATCATCGCGTACTGTTCCAATGATCTTCCGCTTCATCCCGGAATATTCTCTAACTTGCGAAATGTAAACGATTCAATCCAGCTACCCTCCTCTACCGCCGCCTGAAAGATCTCGACCAATAATATGTCCTTCAAGTGTCAAGAAGACCGAAACCAAAAATTCGGACAGATATTTCGACGAGGATGCAACAGGGAGCAGGGAATGAAGTAAATCCTAAACCTCCAACAACTCTAACTACGAGAAAAAATCATTAAATCACCTTAACATTGAGAGTATTCTGCTTACTAAAGAGGAAACCATTAAAATTCACACCATCTCGATCTTGATACTCACGATGCGGAAGAAACAGCGGCGGTCGAACCGTTTTCCGCGACCCAAGCCTTACTAACACTTGGGTGAAAATGAATTCAAAGTGAGACAAGAAGCGAGCACTCGGTATATGATTGAAAAGGTTACGTTCCAGAATGTCAACATCGAACAAGCAATTTCACAGGGGTGACCAGCGCGACTCCTCGACACCAACACAAAACAAAATGCCGTAATCGAAATACGAAAATGCTCGCCGAGAATCTGAGTACGAGGACTGACCTTCAAGCTTTGCGTATTTCCCAGGGGAGGTCTAATCCTTCTCCTTTGCACTACTTCCTTAAAAAGAAATAAAAAAATTTATAAAACTCCTCCACGGACAAAAACCAGAAGGTGGTCGTCCACTCTTCCGCACACCGCCACCTAACTCCGCCGTTACTGAACCAAAAAGAAAACCAAAAATTGAAACAGGAAGCAATGAACAAGCTGCGAGCATTCTTCGAAGTCACGAAGCTGAAGTAGAGCAGCGCAACAAGAGCGAGCACCTTCGCCGCCTTCAGTCAAAAGAGAAATCCACCGGCATATCTGAGCCCCCCTCTTCTCCTTCCTCTTCTTCCGCTCATCCGCTCAATCTTCCTCCTCTGCACAATTAACCTCCCTAATCTAACTCAATGCATCCAATATCTACGAAGTGCGAGTGAATCACCATTGTTAACCACGAGCTTATGAAGGGCCAGAATTGGAATTGTGCTCCGAGCCTCGTTATCAGTTTGGAAAGGTCAGGGCTAACTGTAGCCAACTCCTTCGAACCTAGATGCCAAAATCTATATGTATCAAATAGGCTGATTTCGTATCTGAAATCTACGCGGTTATACATTTTGCTGGTTTCTCAACAAAATCAGCCCTAAAAGCCATTTCCTTTCAATACCCGGGTAACTGAAAGAGACTCCCAGAAATAGGTGGCTGCAACGACAACTGCCATGTCCCCAGATTAGAGTCAATTCTCCTGCCTTCGCAATTCGACAGGGAATGACACTAACCTTTCACACAGGACCACTAAACCCCCTCCATAAAAGCACACAAAGTTTGCAAGGTTTTAGAGTCGGGGTTTGAGGGCGCCCACTTGTGACAAAAATGTTTTCTCTCCTTGTTGAGGATTTTGAACGAAGCTTGGCCATGTTCTCGAGTATGATTTTAAATAGATGGACTGAAAAGCTCCTCCAAATATCTTTCTGATGTAATCAGTGGAGAAACTTCAGAAGGAGTTTCTTATTTGATGCAACAAACTCATGGGAGACTCCCATGAAGAAGAACCATTGACTGCACATTGCTCAAGTTCATGCTCTCTCTTCCTCTGCCATGGGTAATAAGAAATATTCATATAAATTAATAGTTGAAATCTCACGTGCATTACGTTTTGATCAGATACGGATCTGGATACAATTACTAAAATGATGTGAATGACATGCTTAGTTCGAAAAATTTCTCAACTCGGACAAAATGTTATTTCTACAGATAAGCCAGCAGATCCATCATCATAAGAATATTTATAAGTAATAAAGACTCTAAAGTTACTTTCTGCACGCAGATAGAGCTACACAATTTTTATCCTGAAACGAACAAACAAAAACTGTAATCAGTACTTTCATTATGACAAAAATGGTTTCTGACTTTCAATTCAAACCAACCACCTTCTTTTCACCAAACATTGTCTTTATAAAGCATCACTTCACACCTAATACGTTAACAATTCTGTTTCTACGTGAACAAGAACAATGCTGCTTGAGAAATCAGATTCAAAACTTAAGTAGTAGAAAATAATAAACAATATTAATGAAATATAGTTCAGTACACTGTCTCTCGATAACAAATAACAACAAATGTTTCTGCACATCTCTCTTTAGCTAACGAGAGCCTATTTAGTACTCCGTGCAAGTTCACAGACAAGTTTATCCGTGTCACAGCCTATGAAACCAGCCAATGAGAACACGGAAAATTAGGTTTCCAGACCAACAACAACAGTCGATTTCGCGAATCGAGGGTACACAGATAGATAGTGTGCCAAATAGTATATTTTATTACGTTATATAATTATTCCCAGGCAGTCTCAACGATTGGCTAACCTGGTTTGCTGCAAACGCACAGGAGGGGGGCACAGGCCACCTAAGCTGGGGCCCTCCACGTAGGTTGTCTGCAGGGTAGAGCCACTGTCCCGACGCCATCTGGAACGGCGCTCTCTGAAGGCTGTGGAAGAAAGGAGGTCAAAAAACGCCGCGTCCCAGGCGGGGGTGGGGACGGCATCACCCCCATACCATTCCTCACACTGGATGAACAGAAGAAAACGAAACATACGTATGGATGAATTAATGCGCGCCATTCGTTTCCATAACCGTCAATGGGGAGTAGGAGCGAGGCAAGCACATAAAGTGGAACTACATTCAGTTGCATGGATAAACCTTCAGGCAGTGAAGGAGCTGTTGGCTGGGGCTAAGCTCAGCTAAGCTCAGCTTAGGTAAGCTCAGTAGGGCATGGCATGGCTTCCAGTCCACAGTATGGACTCTCGTGCACCAACTGTCGTCCAAAAGCAGGGATGCACTTCCACACACACGCACTCAATAATCGGATCTTATGGATGCCGGTTTGGTGTGAATGCGTTTCCATTTCTTGTCAGCGCCTGTGGCACTTCTTTTCATGCTAGGATTTTAGTCTTCCTCATAAAGTTGTGTCATTCTTTTTTCACTTGGTTGTGATGTGTTCCTTTTTGGTGATAAGTTGTAAGTAGTGGTGAGCTATGCGTGGATTCATTGGCGTTTGATTGATCTCAACGCATTGCATTGCGGTAAGTTAATTTGTGTATGTATTTGTTTGTAGATTAAATAATAAAAATTTAATATTGGATAAGAAATTACAGAACAAACTTCATGAAGAATTAGAGAAAGAAAACCCACGACACGAATATCCCATTCTTATTATTGTATGCTAAATCATGCAACATTCACATACTCTAAACATATTTTCAAAATAAAATTCTTGTGATAAAAAAATACATTGAAGTCCTGTGTTACTTTCTATTACTTTTTGGACACTAACTGAAATCAATGCCTTGTAAACACATAATCTGTAGTTGCATACAAAATGAAAATTCATAAGTTTGATGATCTACAATAAAATCAATACAATGTGAAAACCACTGTCATATTGGTTCTAAGTTTTAAAATACAGCTATGCTTGAACAAATTGACCAACTTTTACATAAATAACTGCAAAGAAGGTAAAAAATGAGTAGTGTTTAATAAACCGCAAAATTTCATAATCAAATTTTAAAACCATCAATTCATTTGTTTTATTCCAGATGTATACATAAAAAGTACTATGTGCAATAAACTGCAATATTGTGTTTGATATATAGATTCTATCTGTTTAGAATTAAAGGCAGCTAAATAAATAACATATATGCATACACTAGTTTTATTTTTTACATTGTATAGTCTCGAGATAAGATCATAACCATAACAATGCCCCTCTTTGAAAACGTACTAAACAACCTACATTATAATGAAGCACAGTATGTTGCACAAATAACAAAGTTTTGATCCATAAACTGGTTAACAACAAAATTATCCACAAAAACATAAACATCAAATTACGTGGCCACAACCAATACAATCACCCATCACTGTAACTAAATGATAAGTGACATTGGTGCCCTTTTCTATGGGAGAGGCATGTTGAAACAATGCAGCTAATAAGACTTTTGGGGAGGGGTATGTTAATTCTTACATAGAGTTCGTCCTTCTGTAATACTATCAAAAAAACAGAAATGAAATAAGAAAACACCACAAGACTCCAAAAGAATATACTCCACAAATCACAGTTAATATAATGAAGAAGTGGCTCACAGTATCAAAATTAAATATTGAGCCCCTACTTATCACAACTATTGAAACACTCTAATGACACGAATGTTCAAAATTATATATATTCTGAATGAACTAACAGACGGCACATTGAATGGATGCACAGCGACAAACACTATTGACTTCAATACGAAAGATAAGATTTATAAACTTATTATCTGTAAAATTCACATTTGGATAACTCTTAACTGAAGTTTCTGCACAGAATTCAACTTCACACCAGAAATGGCTCCCGAGTACACGATACATCCCAAAACCACATAATTGTTCATGCACAAACACGATCTCAAACAAAACCATCTTAACTAAAGACCACTAACCAAGCATCAATCATCAATCCACAGACTCTCAAAGTGGTATACAACCGGACCACGATCTCATCCTCGGATCTCAACACAAGCATTAAGTCGCACACATGCCTCTGACACCCTAGAAAGCTTTGGTAACATTTTTACACCTAAATCATACACTACTTTGCGTGGTCGTACTACGTTGTCCTCATGCTCTTCGTACACCCAAATGCCAGATCGCTAACTGAAACAAATAACTATCCGATCACCTCTCAACATACATTCATATCTAGTACTCTACACCAGCGAATTGTGATGCTGACAACACCACTCCGCTGCTCCAGGTCCCCACCACCAGCACGTACTCGTCTACAACCTATACCACTAAATCTTCCCAAAAGCAAAAACAACCAAGCCAAACACAAACAACATGCCTTAAGTCCCGCTGACATGCGACACCTCCTTCATAAAAGAGCTAATCCCAAACACAAACGAGCATCGCAAAAGCATACCTCTACTTAACAACCATGAGTTCATTCAATACGATTCCAACCCCAAGAGTACATAAATATTCCATACAATATCCCAATATCACATTTCAATAATCCCAAACACTCACAAAGTATTGGGACCAACAACTAAATCACCGCTTGCTTCATGAGCGCAAGATAAAAAAACTCGTCTGAATCAAAAACACCCCGGCGCTAAACAACTGATCAAAACAAAAAATAAACCATTCCTATTTCCAACAACAAAACTTCAGAGCAGAAATAAATCCTGCAGTTTACTCTATCCATATCGATACATAAATAAGCTCTATCAAAAAACAAACCTAGCACCAACTCCTGACTGCACAACCAATTCCATCACCTGACAAAGTCAAGCCCACCGATAACGTGCCCATCCCAACAAAAGCAAAGCCAATCCCAAAATGCCCAACGCAGGGTCCATCAAATCATCCAACAAACAAGGCTGACAATCCTAACGACATATTCGTCGCGAAAGACACCTATATATACCCAAGAGCGCAAACATACATCATGCACACCAACCACCGTGCACATACTCCACAACCGCACGCATCATAACATCCTCCCACAACCGACCATCAACATCGCCACACCACAACCGTTGCCATTACTCGCACAACCACCCCATATGTGTCCCTCCCACGTCACACATTCCACTCTCACCTCCCGTCTGCACCGGTTCCAAATTGCCACATCAACGCAACCGGGCCACACAAATGTCCACACCCCATCCACCACCACCACCACCACCACCAATTTACTCGAATATCGGCCTTCGCCATTCCATTGATCCACAAGTCCA